TGCTATGTCCGACTATGAGTCCTACTGTAGCATCTCCTTTTGGTGGTATAATCTGGGCCTGTTTTTTCACCTCCAATATATAAAAATACATTTAAATTTAGTAAAGTTAGACCGTGGCTTATACCTATGAATATTAATTATAATTAGATTGAGTGGACCTCATTTTTACCTACAGGTATATGAGATATAAGTATAGTTATAGCTTACCAGCATATTATTCTTTGATCTTCAATAACGATAATTTTAATAAGAATTAATACTGGTGGTATATGTAATATTATAAATTTTATTGCTATTTATTTATTTATTTTTTTTTAATTTGTTACAATGTAATGTCATTATAATACAGCTTTTCTTTATTTTTCTACCATGTATCACGTGTTTTTGTTATCTAATTTTACACTTAAACATTAATTTTCTACAAAAATGTTTTGTTATGCAACAGCTTACTAAAAATATTCCATAGAAAAGTTCGCTTCTATCTCCCGTGTCTTCTTATCTTACTATACAATTCAATGAAATAAAGAACAATGTCATTCTCAATATTCAATGACCTATTATTTGTTCTTCTACATTATTTTGTAATTTAAAATTGTAATAAAAAAAAATTTAAGTACACTTACACGATGGAATGAAAGATATCTTAAAGTTAAATTGTACAATTGCATGTGAAATATGGTTCTACGTCTAGCATTACGAAACTATCATCTTTGATGTTTCTCAATTTCTTAAATCGATTTAAAATTTTTTTTCTTATAAATTTCCTAACGATTCACATTTAATAAATATTGGTGAAAAAATTTACCAACGGGTGTTTCCGAAGAAAAAAACAAATGTTGAATCTTACAAGTATTTATAATACTTTGGTTCAAATTTTTCTATTTTCTACTTACAATATAATAGTTCTATGCCACATGTTAAAAAATTCCCATTATCGCAGCTCGATTTATTGCTGTTTATTATTTTGATTGCTCTAAGATATGCATAAATTGGAAGACCTTAAAAAAATAAAGCACAGCGATGATCTTGTTTATTTATTATGCTTTTTTTTTTTATTATAATTTTATAACAAAACGGACAAAAAATTCTAAAATATCTTTTACACAACCAATTCAATTAATAAACCAAAGTCTCTCTTGAAACAATTACAAAAAAAAATAAAAATAATAAAAAATATTGACAAGCGCAGATATTTTCAGTAAAGTTAAGAAATTTCGATAAACGCTGTGCTATATTCAAATATTGCATCAAGTCCAAAATTTGAAAAAAAATTCATAATACGCGGAAGAAAGTTAAAAGTGCTTGAATAAAATATGCTCGTGCACTCGTATTTATCAAAAGGAATAAATTTGAGCGCGTATTAAACTACCTGGAATGTCTTAACTAATTGTTCCGACTTACGTGTAAAAATAATCACATTTACATTATGCAATAATTCCACTCTTGGAAACACATCGTACGATTGCCGTGCAACTTAAAAAAACATCACAAATGGCAGAAAGGTGTTTAGTAGCTACACAAAACGGTGATACGCGCAATTCAAGCCGTTAAATCCTCACGCAGACAAGAATCGTTACGTATTTACGGGACTCTATTTACAGTTTTAGTACCCTACAAGTCGCTAAAAAAGAAAAAGAAAAAAAAAATTTTTTAATTAAAAATACTACACGTACGAAATACTTAACCCGAGGTGTCAAAAAGCATACGCACACATGACCCCACTTAGATTCAACCCTGCACTTGAAGTACAGCGGAACTTGTACATAGCGAACGTGACAAAAAATGAAAGGCAATTTCATCGAACATTCTTGAGATCAGAGTTAAGGCATTAAGTAGTTTGGTTCAGGGACAGCTTTCCACCCTTTTTTTCTTACGGATAAGGACACGGTCCCTGCGTGCATGCAATAAAAATATCTAAAACTCCCTACTTTTACTTTTTTACAACACACACCTATCTACAACTTAAACTAATGAAATAGCCTAATTTTACGAGTGTAAGATTTGTTCGTTTTGATTGTTGTTGAATGATTTCGCATTTACACCAAAATTTCGCCAAACGACAGAGAGCACGCCAAGCTCACATTTTAATGCGTAAAAAAAACATTTCCCGACGCATGAAAAAAAAAAAAAAAAAAAAAAAAAAAAAAAAATCCCATACTCATCCATACGCAATCACACGACGAGAGTAACGGCCTAGATCACAGTGTCCTGGTAGGCGGGTGGTCCACTGAGAACGAACTGCTTCTGGCTCTGCCTGACGACGTCCGATCTGCTGGGGACCTGGGGCGTGGCCCTCACCCCGTGGTAATTGCTGTAGCTCGACCTCGCGCTCGCTGGCCTGTTGCCGTACACCTCGTCCAGGTCCTCGCCGTTCAAGCTCTGTATGCTGGTTTGTTGGAAGGTGGGGTTGCTCTGTCCCTGCCACTGCATCGGGGCGTTGCTGGGCACCGCGAGGGTCAGGATGTTCTGCTCGCTGGCCCCCGCGGCTCCCATCAGGAGATGGGCATTGTGGTTGTTTATGATGATGTTGCCGGCGGATGCTCCCTGCCAGCTTTCGGCCAAGTGGCGCGTCGAGCTCGCTGATTCCCAGTTGCTCGGGCCCAGGGTGGCCTGTGGGGGTGGGGGCGGGTAGATCGGCGAGTCTTGCTTCCAGATGTTGGGCGACGATGCGCTCAAATTTATCGCTTCGAGCTGCCAGCTTGGGATGCTTGGGTGGCCTGTGGCACGGACAAATCGGGATTTAGTGGGATGATCGCTGTCGTCGAGGTGGTATCTTTTACCCCCCATTGCTCGTAAAAGTATTTTGTATTGTTGTTTGCACATTTTAAGTATACGTTTTGTGAAAAGATTATAATCTAAGAATCATTAATTGGTTAATTTTATCATTTTATTTACAATATTAAAAATTACCGTCGATATGGATAATACGTCTAATGAATCATGTAACCCATTTGGGTGAAATTACTTGTAAATGAAATATTTTCGTGCCATTCGTGGCCATAAGGAAACACTAAGATAATTTTTTCATATCGTTTAAAATCTTTTTGCTTCATTTTTTTTATCTTAAAAAATCCTATGATTATTCGTGGTAAGAAAAAAAAAAAATTTACCAAGTTCCGTCATTGGTAAAACACTAATAATGAACTGTACAAATTTAAAGAAAATCATAAAGTGTCTATACTTGAGTATGTGCACAGACCTAAGCCATGAAAAAAAATTCTAAGGTCATGTTCTCAAGATATGAAAAAAAAAAATTACTTTCTACTCCGAGAAGTCGCTAAATGACCCTATGACGACTTACTTCAATAATGCATACTCAAAGTGATTTTTCAGGGACGCAGCCCTTTGATTGTAAACAAAAAAAAGGGGAAAACCAAATTTGTACTCACTGGTGTTCCTCTCGCGGTCCCAGCGCCCGGATATCCGATCGTAGTTCAAGTTACCATGCGACAACGAGTTAACGTACTGGTTGGACAAAGCCGTGCTAATGATAGCCGGCGAGTTTGCGTACAGGCTCTCCTGCTGGTCCATGATTCTGTTGACGGGATTTTTACGCCTGGCCGATTGCCTCGAGGCCGTGGAGCTGCGCAGCCGCTGGTTCGAGCGCCGGTGGGTACCATCCCTGGATATCACCGAGCGCCGCTTGACCCTCCGGGGCGTCATTGGCTTCGGCGACACGTTGTCGTCCTGGTGATGCTGCTGCTGCTGCTGCTGCTGTTGTTGCTGCTGCTGGTGGTGGTGCTCCTGTCGGTTTTGCTGGTGGTGGTGGTGCTGGTGGATCACGGCGGGTTCTGGACGCGTGTACTCGATGCTGTACAGCGGCCGCGGTTGTTTCTTTTTCTTCTTTCTAATTTGAGCTGCGACGGTAGCGTGAAAATATTTTTAGGGATGGGGAAAAACTCGCTGGTGTCTTTCTGTAGGGCTCAATTTTTTTTTTTTTTTTTTTTTNTTTTTTTTTTTTTTTTTTTTTTTTTTTTTTTTTTTTGTTTCTAAAAAGTATCATTCAAATACGTTTTTTTTTTACCAACTATTAATGAAAGTTTAATTATGCTACAAAGTAACCCAAAGATCGAATGCATCTATTGTCTATATAGTTACCAAGAAACCAGTGTGTTAATTAGAGACAGAAAGAAAGTATAATGTGAAAGGACGATTTTGTCAATAAATAAGCAAGCATGTAAATATTGCGTGTGTTTTTTGCACATTGCACTTTTATTCACCACAAAGTAAATATTTTTGATATTTCGTATAAAGTTTTTCTTTTTTTTCTTTTTTTTTCTTTTTTTTTTTTTTTTTTTTTTTTTTTTTTTTTTTTTTTCTTTTTTTTTTTTTTTTAATTTTACATGAACATTATCGTACAAAGAACTGAAAAATGATTGGCTACATGTATACTACTTTAATATTACTACTTAACAATTAAAAATCAAACGCTATAGATACAGTGAAGAACACATCAATCACTATAGTAATGAACAAGTTAAATAATAATAAAAAAACGAGCTTATATGTATTTTTTTTTCATTTATCGTAACGAATCTTAAGTAAAATCTGACCCTCAAAATTGTATATATATTATTTGTATGCAACTTCGACAACTTACGAGTCTCGTTTTTTTTTTCAAATCAATTCTCAAAGTTAACACCTTCAGCCGTAAAAAAGTGAAAAATCTGTTAAACAAAAAAAAAAAAATTTTTTAATGTGATACTTGCACGCAAATGCAATCGACAATCTAGATGGTGTTCTGAATTAAGATGAAATTACTATCCTCAAACGTATATTTTATATGATGTAATATAAATATTTTTCTATACATCAACTACGATATTTGGCATAAAACGATAAAATCTAACGCATAACACGTACGTACACTTACTATATTAAATACGATAAATCTATATATAAAAATAATCTACAAAGGATAAGGCTATTTTGGTTTCAGGCTTCAATTTTGTGTTCCTCCGAAAGACGCATTCACATTTTGTACGACCGAAATCACCAATTATTCGTTACATCAGATGTCTCTTGAGACAAGGCCCGAAAAATCACTCGACTATGCTTTGCTAATTATTAAAATAATTTTACCACAGTATCCTCAAAACACAACGAATCTACTTCACAAAACGCATACAACTAGGACGTCACTTTAACGGGCAGTGCACGCACATAATCCACTGTTAAACAAGATTTGATGAAAACGTGGACATTGCAATTACCTAAGCATATACTTTCGAATCGTTGGCACCAAATAGAAATTTCGTTTGTCGCTCCGCAAACGAAACGCATTCGCGTGAGACTCGTTTTTCGAGTCTTAAATATAGGTATGTACACACACACATATATGTATATATCATACGTATCACAGTCCATTAGTGCGTAATCGTTGTTTATTATTCGTTTATTCTTCAACTTTTTTTTTCTGTTGCTTCAACTCCATATACGTACACTTATGTGAGTTGTGTTGACTGTATGTGGAAAAAAAAAAAAAGAAAAGAAAAGAAACTTTCATCCATTCTTGCGTGTAATAGTCGTTGTCGCGCTTTTATCACATTTGCAAAATCGTTTATCCGTTAAAAATTCACCATGGCTTTTGTATGATTTGAAAACTCGTACACCCTGTGCGCTTACCAAAAGTAAGCTTCTCGTGTCGCGATAAAATTCTTTCCTTTGTTTTTCCAACGCTCGTTATAATTGACGAGGTAAAAGGCACTTTTGAAAATACTTTCGTCGTACAGTACCAGACCCACGTTGTACGGGCACCTCGTACAAGTTTGGCAAAGTGGCAAGTGTAAAATTCAACATTGAAAAAAAAAAAAAAAAAGAAAAAGTACAGCTCCGTACGCGGAGTACAAACAACGAACAACAAGTTTTTTTTCATCCATCACCTGGATTCCTTAAGTCACTTATCGAACGAGTATCGCGCGCCACACGCAACACTGAAACAACTGGTGTTGCAGCCTGTCGGTACATCGTGTGAAATAAAAAATAGAAAAGTACCAAAGTAAGTATATGTATCTCGATACACCCTTCACAGCCGAAAAGTCCCAAAAGGCAGGCACACCATGAATTTCCGACCGGAAAATGTCTTTCTTCTTCCCGAAACGAGCGGTAGAACCCCCAAGTTCGGGTCAATAGTTGTTGACGAACATCGATATGGGCCTAGCGTCGCGACGAGCGTCTCGCGGGGCATGACTGGCACCAGCGGGAGGTGCGGCGCCAGCCCCGTGACTGGCACCCGGAGCGGCCTGCTCCTCCAGCATCGACAGCCTCGGGTCCGAGTGGAAGGACCTGAGCTGCCTCTGGGGCACGGGTAGGGCCGGCGCCGCGCTCGACTGCCTTATGTGGTCCGCCTGGATGGCTCGGGGCCTGTACGAGTTCCGGTTCTGCTGGTACAGCCTTCCGGGCGGGCCAGCTGGGGCACGATTGTACTGACGCGACCTCATCAACGGACTATACGTCACCGGGGGCGTCTGTCTCTGCTGCTCGTGCTGGTACATGGGGTGCCTGTTGAGGCTCAGATTCGGCGTGTGCACCTCAAGACTGTCGTAGTAATCGGGTTGCTGCTGCTGCTGCTGCTGGTAATGTTGTGGTTGTGGTTGTCTGGGGTCCACGGCTGCTCGGAGCTCGTCCACGGGGTTGGAGTAGTTGGCGCACTCGAGCACGGCGGGCGAGGGGCGACCGGGGGATGCCCGGCTGAAGCTGCCACTGGGCGAGCCGCCGTTGCTGTACTCGGCGTTGGAGCGAAGGGCGGCGCGGGCGCGATTATTAACCGCTACGGAGTACATGGGGCTGGCGGTGGGCGGGGCCGCGGTTTTGCGGACGGTTTGCTCGTTGAGGGTGCCCGAGGAGGCCGAGCCGGCCGTGGTCGTGGTGTTGGTCGGGTAGTAGTAGTAGCTGTTGTTGAGGTCGCTGAGGGTGCCGGTGGCGCTGGTCGAGGCGGTCGTTAGCTTGTTAGCGGCCCCGTAGGCGGCGGGCAGGGCCGAGTAGCTCACGTACATGGGATGGAGCGGCGTGTGCCCGGCCGTGCCAAAGTCACCGCCTCCGACAAAGTCAACTGGAAAATCAGGCGGTGCACGCAAGTGCGTTGCTGTATACACACATGGCTTTTTCTTTTTTTTTTTTTTTTTTATGTATTTTTATATTTTTCCCTTCTCTTTCGTCTCTTCTTGAGTTTCCCGCTCAGTTCTGCAGTTTTCATGGAAAAGCTTTTGAGGATCGGTTCTTTTGTCCGGATTATATCTCAGCGAGCGCTTTCGCTACGGTCGTGCGTTTATCGCGTCGGTTTTTCGTTCGTTGCGTGTTTGCGAAGTAAATATTATGTACGCTCGAGACGCGACGGATCGTAGCTTGCAAACATACGTGAGCCATAGTTCAGCCACTTTCGTGGTCGTCTTCAATTTTTATTCCATACGCCATTAAACGTGTAACACTCGTTGGTGCAACCTTACATCCTATGATAGAATTTTCTACGGTTCGTTTTTTTTTTTTTTTTTTTTTCCAACAAGTACAATGTGTAGAGCCAAAGAATAAAAGATCAACATTGAGATTGTACAAATAAAGTAAAAAATTTGAGTATGAGAAGCGGATGCAATTGCCTTATACACGTAACAAAAAAAAGTATAATATCTAATGATTGTATTTTTAGTTTGAAAGTTCTACGAATCTATTATTTAATGTATATAAAATATAAAAGCAGTCTAAAAGATACAAAGCCAAAGTAGTCTACGAGTGCTTGTATGTAATGTAATATATGCATGCGGAGAACTGATTCCCTAAGGTTTTCCATGAATATCTCGACAGATTTTTACCTTTTTTTTTTTTTCACGGTGAATCTATTTTTTTAACGTTGGCGAATAATTAAGAAAAAACGTTTGATTGTTGAAAAAAAAAAAAAAAAAAAAAAAAATCAATGATCAAAGTACTTCTTATTTACTCGTATATACCAAAGGTTTATGAGTGTTAGGTAGAAAAAAAATCCACACACAATAGATCAATGAAAAAACTATTAAATCAAAAGGAGGCAAAACAACAAAAACAACAACAACAACAACCATTCGTCCGAAATTCGCATGCAAGATTAATCTTTCTCACAAGTGTGTAGCACTTACCATAATGAAGGGTCAAATCCACCAATGAAATCAACTGCAACCGACAACCCCCTCTTTACTAAATACTGTTAATTGTTATTGCTTATACCGCGATCACCAGAGTTAATTTAATCGTTATAATCAACAACGTGGTTGCGTAGTCGTATATAACAAAAAAGTCGTGTCTTGTGGTTAAAAAAAAAAAAACAAAAAAAAAACGTATCAAATACCACACTTGCACGTGAAAAAATTTTTGCATTTGCAATATTGTTAGGTTACATTATATATTATATACAGGTGTACAACAACGTGATAAATATAAAATATACACTCTAGCGAGTTAATTGGTAAAAGTGTGAGTTGCGCGTGGCTAGAAAAGCTCAATTAGTCAAAACAGTAATTGTTGATAGCAAAGTTTTTTGTTTTTCGTAAATTTGTCAACTTACAGCTGTCGTCCTCCTCCATGAACATTCGACTCAGGCAAAGGCCGCTTATCACCGACAGGATCTAACAGGGGACACGAAAATGCAAATTTCATTTTTCATTCGTGTTTTTTTTATGCATTTATTTAAAATTCTCACCGATAGAAAACATTGTACCGACGAGTGAATGACTTCGATGACTTCGTATTTGAAGAGACACCCTACGACGTGATCGGGCCGGATGGGCCTGTAGAGATCGGGGTCGGGCACTGTGTTGTTTGACTGCTCCTTGCAGCCCGGTCCGTTGATCAGCCACCACGAGAAACTTCCTGTGCCAAAGTTCAGCAGGTCATCCCGCTGTTATTTAAACAATAATAAAAATTATAAGACACGTAATTTTATTTTCATTTGTTATTAAATAATCAATTACGTGGGAATTCATTTTTTATCCCAAACTTTCTGTAGGCGAATAAATTTTGGTGTTAAAAATTATCTGTTTCTTTAAAACATTTGCATGAAAACATACAAAATCTTTAAGTTATTTTTTTTGTGAAGCAATACTAAAAGATATGTTTTAAGTTAAATTTTTTAGATAATACGTTTTTTTTGTTACATTTTTTTTTTTTTTTTTTTTTTTTTTTTTTTAAATAACAACATCTAAAAGTTACATTTGATATATTGTGAATATTCTATAAGCGTTGAATATTCCTCTTTCTACTGACTAATCATTTAGGAACCATTGTTTTACGAAAAAAACTAATTAATGAAAATCAAATTTGAACGATTGGCATGAACTATTATTTCAACTTTTTTGTTTTACTTATGTAAATTTTGTTATCCCATCACAAATATGTAATTGTAATAATTTTTAAAAATTATTTTTCATTTATTGATTGAAATTCGACTGGTAATTTTTCAGCACTTAATTCATTGAGTAATTTTTTAAAGATAACTTACATACTGACAAACTAAAATAAAAATTGTAAAATAAGTAAACTAAATACGTAAACTTTTTTCGAATGCATCTAACAATTTATCACCATATATTATGGTATTATTGTTTAAGTCAATGAGTTTAGATTTTTTTAAATTATCTGTCATTGTTACAAGTTTTCCAGAATTTTGAAATATTTAATGTATGGATATCTTTTGAACTAATTCTAAATTTTGTCATACATTTCTATCAAAGTCTTTAGTTTATTTTTCATTTGTTCTTAGTAGTCTAATTGTTATTCTTCAAAATTTACTATAATATAATATATAATACTATTGTTTCAGTGTGTTCAGAGTGTTCAGTTCTTTATGCATAAAAGAAATAAATTTTTTGAATAAATTTATATTGGAAGACACGTAAAGTTACCTTCTGAAATTTTAATTTTTCAACCATGATATTAACAAATAATATTTAAAGTTAAATTTTGTATTAGAAATCTAATTGTCGCGCATAAAAATACATTTTATGTACAAAAGTATGGATCATCAAAAACTATTAATTAACAAGTCCGTCGAGTAGATTGCATTAAATGATTGTCACGTATTTTCTTTTTTTTAATAACTCACCTGACGGACAAAACGGACATGAATAATTTTATTTCCATCCATAGTAATCATACACAATTAAAAAAAGAAAAAAAGAGTTGCACTAGCACTATCAATTTTATTCCGTGAATGCAAACAAAACCATCGTACGGATCATCCTCCTCTTATATAATTAAACCGTCGACGAAACCATACACCCTGCATCGCACACGCATAGTCATCAGTTTCAGCACAACCGTACCAAGTGACAATAAGGAGAAACCTTGGCGTCCCGCATAGATAAGAATAAAGAGAGAAGCGAAAGAAAAAGAAAAAAAATAAATAGTAAGTAGAGCAGCGTCCAATTTACTCTCGGGACAGCTGAACCGACTCTCCAATAGATTCGCACATTTTCAGTGGGCACACGCGCAATTATCACTTTTCTCCCTCCATGTGTACTTCGCTCGTGTGACTCACCTTATCCAGACCTCCGACTTCGAGATAGAAGCAGATCAGAAAAGCGTTCCAGCTCAACCACAACACGTTCCACACGCAGTACTGCAACATACGAGAAACAAAAAATAAAATAATTTTTTTTTTTTTTTTGCAACGCTATACGCTGTGTTTTCTTAATTATTAGGTATAGATATTTTATCATCCATCCATTAATATGGCAACGCGTTCATGTCCTTCGTATGATGATACAAGTTTCCTTAACTGAGTATATTGTGACTAACACTCCAAGAATGCCCTTTATACGTTATACTTGTACGCTGCATATGTGAGCCGAAGCGGGTCAACGGCCACCGTTGCCGGTTTAAACGTATATGTGTGTAAAAGCACGCGTGAAGTCTGCGGGTTTCTCTACAAGACTACAATGATACATATACAATTTATACGTATGTAGGTATGTCAAAGTGCGGCCCAACGAAGATTCTCACGCTTTGTTTTTTTTTTTTTTTTTTTTTTTTTACAGTGAGGCGCTCTTTTCTATCAAGTAGCCCCGCGCATTTGATTAATTAGCGCTACGGAGCGAGCTCGTGTCGGATATTTCATACATCGGACTAGACGGTGATCTTTTTTTCATCAAAAATTTAAAACAACGCCTTAATACGATATTCATATAAACGGGTGTGACTGTTTGCCCCACGGGATTATCCAACTATGGGTCATTTACGCATAAAGTTGTTGAGAGGGAAAAAGTTGTGTAGGTCTCGCGTGGCCAAAACTTATTCAACAACTATGTAACTTTGGTTTAAAACAAAACAAAAACATTGCCAACGATAAGAAAAATTGAAAGAAAGAATTTTTTGCAATAAAAATACTGAAAATTACTGTAGCTGAATGATGCACTGATAAATTTTTAAGATAAAAAAATGTGTACAACAAATGTTTTCCAACCCACCACAAATATAACAATGAAGTACTACACTGCCGGAAACGTGAAATTAAATAAACACTCGTACACGCGAACCGTACATATATAGAGATGGTATCGATCCGTTGGTTGGGGGCCGATATCGATCTCCAGACGTTTTGGAGTAAACGCAATCATCGGTGCATTGCACGCGTATATGTATACCTAACCGCGCACCTGCAGCTTGGCAAGCCCCGTACAAAGTGGATCACGGTGGTTGGCTCGTGTGTATTGGAAAGGTGTCTTAATTGAGGAGAAAGCCGCATCTTCGAATGCCTTTTCTTTTCGAGATCGACGCACGCGCCCGAAGAAGCTCGACGAGGGAAAAGTTTTTTTCGATAGCTTTCGAGATTTTCTCCTCGTCACGGCCCATCCGGGATTTTTGCTATTTGTGTTTATTATCGATTGCTTAAGTTTTAAATGAACGCGTGCACTTACCGATATGATGTATTTGGGTCGGTACTGGAAGGCTCCGAAGAACCCGAGGATCACGAAAATGATGTTGAAAAAGTTGACGAGTATCGGCACCCACATGAAGCCCAGGAAGTCGAACACTTGGCGCTCGCTCGTTGTTATCTGAAATTAAAAAGGAAATTCGTTATCAATTCGGGAAATCGGATGATACGCTGTTCCGTGGAAAATTAGAACTGAGGGAGGAGGATTTTTTATAACTACGAGAAGAATTTCTTATGTATGAATGATGAATTTCGCTGTGAGACGGTCTTAATTTGCGGCAATTATTCTGTATTCCACCCGTTCTCACTACTGTCACGGAAATTAAGGCATATACGTTTGGGCAGCCGGTGTAGCGAGAAGTTTGCTCTATTAATAAGTAGTTTGGATAATTGTGTGCTAACGTTTGTTGAGTCTATACTATTTTGTCGAAGCGAGTATTTTATCAAAACAGTAGTTGAAAAATGTACGTTTAAAAGCGCGATTGAAGCATAAAGTAACAGAGTAAAAGATAGTACATTGTTTGTGATTTAAAAAAATATTATTTTAATTGTATGGGCACATGTGTATACATGTCAACATAAATCACACATTAGTTTGTTGCAGGTTTTCAATGTTACCTATACACTTCTATTTACATCTAGATAATTTTAAATTTATTTTTAAAAAGCAATCAAATTTATAAGTTCCAAACTAGGTATCAAGATAAAGTAAGATAATGCAACACCTCTTACATTTACATTTTTTAATTTTAATGATAAATTTATCTACTCATACAAAAAATACGGACAAATTAAAAATAGCATCTTGATAAAGATATTTAACCTGAAAAAACATAAATTTTTACCTATAAAAGATGATAGTATTGGTGTGAAGCAGAACAATTTATTTTGATATGACGTTAACCGTTTTACGTGTATAGCGATGATAAAAAGCGTGTTTTCTCTGAATTGATTACATTTTTTCAAGGTTGCGTGAATCACTATATGAATCAGGTAGCAGCAAAGATGGTAAAAAAAGGATATGTTTTTTTTTTTTATATATTTCAGCAAAAATATAAATAAACGTAATGTAAAGTCATCATTAAAGCGTACGGATGCTACCACGTGCTGAGATCATCAGAGTTTTTAATACTTTAGATCTCGTATATTTAAATATTGCACATATTTGTAATAACAGAAAAATCTCTTTTCTAATTTTTCTCTCTCTCTCTCTCTCTTTCTCTATAATATTAACAGACATAAAATTCTGTATTAATTATTTGTTAATATGTTGCCAAAGTGGCCATTATCTGTGTTAAAAAAATTAAATGAAAGTGGCAATTACATATGTAAAAACAAAAAAAAAATTCGTGTATTAAACTTCAATACCAAAGTATACTCAACATTTAGTAGAAAGAGGTAACTAACTGTATGTATATATGTATTTGAATACAATGGGCTGAGTAGGAAGACAATTTAACATAAAGTACACATATTTATCTATTCAAACGACGTGTACTTTATGAATACCTCTTTTTAAGATTCATGATTGCATACATTTCTGTAAAACAAACTAACATAAAATAATGAATACGAGTGCTACACGTTCCATCCCTTTTCTCCTCCAAATAAATAATTCAACCGCTGGAAATGTTAATTAACTTGTCCTGTCCTGTCTTTTGTTTCAAAACAACTAACTAAAATACTCTTCCGCTTTGAAACCAAAAAAAGTGTCCACGCAACAAATAAATTCTCGCAGATCCTAGAATAGACGTCCAAGTAAGAAAATAACAAAAAAAAAAAAGGAATGAAACACGTTGTACGTAAAAATAAAAAAAATAAAAAAAATAATACGTACCATCTGAAGGACGCATATTGTTAGTAGGAAGTGCCTCTTGTCGCACAGTCCCATGTCCGCTGGCTTGCTCGACGTCGTCGTCGTCGTCTTCTGGACGACCTAGCGTCCGGCCTCTCGCAGCACATGCACGCACTCACGATCGTATCAAAACTCCTCTGCCTCGTTTTTCACGTCCGTCCACAATCATCCTTTCCACCTCTTCTCCGACGACACATCACTTGCACGTTTTATTCATATAAAAAATTATTAAAATTTAAATAAAATAAAAAAAAAAAACAATACACTTTCATGCGGTACTGCACAGTCCATTCGGTATAGTTTTGTTAATACAATGAGGAACGGCGTGTGGTTATCCGTTACTACAGCTGAAGTGGCGTCGCCATTTTCTCGCCGAGATCATTCTCCACCTGTGTAGGTGTATCTCTTCTGTGTGGACACACACATACATATGCAGACATAAATATGTGACCATAGATGTATTTGTTATACTTATAGTAAAATGCTAAAATAATACATGGTGACATTATTTTGTGGTTCCAGATTACTCATTTTAAAGTATAAAATTTATGAAATTCACAACAAAAATATATTTGAAAACCTACACTTGTTTCATTGTTAGATATTAGCATTAAATAACTTCAACAGTTTTTGAATTGTATTGTACTTTATTATCGTTGTGTACGCTGCATATGTGAGCCGAAGCGGGTCAACGGCCACCGTTGCCGGTTTAAACGTATATGTGTGTAAAAGCACGCGTGAAGTCTGCGGGTTTCTCTACAAGACTACAATGATACATATACAATTTATACGTATGTAGGTATGTCAAAGTGCGGCCCAACGAAGATTCTCACGCTTTGTTTTTTTTTTTTTTTTTTTTTTTTTTTTTTTTTTTTTTTTTTTTTTT